GGGGGGGGGGTGACAAGTTGTCACAGACACCCGCTCAACTCTGCACACACCCCCCGACTTCGCGACTTGCGCCACTCTGCCCGGCTGCGCCGCACGTCGCGGGACTATTTCTCTCCTTGCCGCGACGCCTTGCCGCGACGCCCTCCCTTACTCTTTCCGGAGCTTGACGGCCGTAGAAACGGCACTGTACCCTTTAAGGGTACAACAATCACCGAAACTGTACAAACCCGCAGCAGCACCTCCCCCCCGCCGTCATCTGCCCTTGAAGGGGTACAACAATCACCGATTACACCACTGTCCAAATCCGATCCGCCGCAGCACCTCCCGCCGTCCGTCCTGCTATCCGCGCGCGCTCCTCAAGCCTTTGCGCCAGTGTCCCCCTTCGCGGCCGCGCTTCCGTCTCGCCGCGCCTCGTCTCCGTCCTGCGGGGCCCTGGGCTCGCGAGGGCGTCTTGCGCGCTGCCGCGCGCTGCCGCGCGCTGCCGCTTGCGCTTTTGCGCCTACGCGTGTACCGCGCGCGCTTGCGCGGGGGGCCCCCGTGGGCCCGGAAAGGCGCGGAGAGCCGTGCCGGAATTGCACGCCGCACTCGGTTGGTCGCGGCGCGAATCCGCAACGCGCGGCCCTCGAGAGAAACTAGCGGGTCCGACTTGCGTCGCGCAGTGCATTGTTGAGGGCGTGTGTGTGTGTGTGTGTGTGTGTGTGTGTGTGTGCAGGCGTCGACGCGGATTGCGCGGGCGGCGGAGGCGTGTTTCTAATAGAAACTTTCTATATCGGAAGGCGTGGCCGGCCGCAATGCGCACTGGCGCTACTGAGGCGCGATCGCATTCGTGTGCAGTAGCGTGGGTGCTGCCGTGCTGTCGGGAGCGGTGGAGAACAGGCGGGCGAGCGAGGCGCATTCACTCGAGCACAAGACATGAGATGGCATGATGAAAGACACGAAGAAAGAAGCGAGGCTTGTAACTAGTGTTGGCGTTTATATACACACGACTAGCGCTATACTACACGTACGGTACGATTATATCTATGCCTAGACTAGGGAGGGAGACGAAGCGAAGGCCATTTGTTGCGGGGAAGGCGAGCGGGCACACGATGTCGCAATGAGAAACCAACCGTGGAGAGCGTAAAACAAAAGTTGCACGAAAAATGACACACACACACACACACACACACACACACACACACACACACACACACACACACACGCACACACACACACAGATTGACACATTCACACACACACACAGACTGACACACTCACACACACCCACTCACACCCACTCACACCCACTCACATTCACACACACACACTAAAGTTGGACAGCATCGCGGGTGTCCGATAGCGCACACATTAAAAGTCGGACAGCATCGGGGGTGTCCGATTGCGAGCTCCCAAAAACGTGAGGGCAAGGCAAGGCAAGGCAGAGGCGGGCGTGCCTTCAATAGTGTTGCGGTGGATTTGGGGGATTGCGTGCCGGCCCATCCTTTATCTGCTGCATGTAGGCCTTTACAAACTCGTCCTTCCCGATGCGTCCATCCTCGTTAGTATCGCACCTGACGAAGCACTCCATGGCCTCATGGTACGAGATAGCGAGGCGCAGTGCCCTAAGCGCGTCCATAAACTCCTGCAAGTCGAGGTAACCACTGGTATCAGTATCGAAGCGATCAAACATACCGCCCGCGGCGTGGCGCGCGTCAGCCTCTGCCATCCACGGAGCGCGGCCCGGGTCAGGCGGCTGCGGTGCGCGTGCGGGTGTAAAAGAGGTGTCCCAGTAAGTGCGTGCGGGGAGCGAGAGCTGCTGCTGTCCCTAGCTGCTGCTGG